TGATACATCTTTATCAATTAGGAAAAAATTGCGTGCAGCTGTTTCATTATTTCCTGTCATCTTTGAAACAGCCTGCACCGCCATGTTAAGAACACCCAACCCTGCACTGGAAGCCACAAAAACTGAATGAGATGAAAAAGAAGGCTACAAGGATGTACACAGAGAAACATCAAAAGCACTAAGTTTCAGGTATAAGCTTGTTAGAATTGACTGTTGCAAGTACCTTCCAGCTCCCACAACAACTATCTTTTGGTTTACAAAGTCAGCCAATGGTTGACCTTGTGCTCTAACAGTTCCCAATAATCCCGCAAGTGCAACACCAGCAGTCCCCTATAACACATTCACTGAGGACATTTATTCTAGAAGTATGATAATCCAACAACAATGTACATTTGCTGCTCCTTCAATCCATATAAATAGCAATACGTTTCACTATGAACTAACCTGTATGTCATCATTGAACACGCAAAACCTTTTCTGATACCGTTTCAGAGTTTCAAAGGCCCACTTCATTTGAAAATTCTCAAACTGAAATGCATAACCAGTAAATTAACAACATGATAGACACACAAGTATAACATATGCACATATGCCACATAAAATTCTACTTCTTAAAGAAATATACCTGTATGATAGCCTTGGGCCAACATTTGAAAACTGCTTCCATGAATTCATCAACAATCAATAAATATTCTTCACCTTCCAACCTTGGTTGTCTAACCCCTAAGTCTGTGAGCCAAAAATATCAAAAGGTATCACAAACAATTCACGGAAGAATGTTCTAAAATGCATATCATAAGAGGAAACAATTTATAAAGATCTAACTAATTGTGTACACATTTTACTCACAAGGCCGGTCTTCAAGTAGCTTTTGATTGTTAGTACCAACATCTAGCATAACTGGGAGTATCTGTTGGAGACAGATGTTGATTGAATAATTAAAGTGACAGCAGAAAATTACTATGGCAAGAGAACTAGCAAAAAATGTAAAAAAAAAAAGGAATGAAGAAACTTTTTGAGCAAAATGGAACCAAAAAATTAGAAATTAATAAATATACTTTCAGCTCATTAAAAAATATACATGTGCATGAATATGAAAAATATAACCAATAGTTAAGTCTATCATAAAAATTTCTAACAAGCCAGCACACTACATAAATTAACACACGTGGTCAACACTCCTTTCCAAGCATTCTTATTTTCATGTCTAAAGTCTCAACAAAGATCAAAGCATCGTTATATAAACTGTGAACAGGCACATGCATAATTCACAAACAAAAATTGTTATGTGCACTGGAGCAGAATTGAAAACGAGGCATTAGCTCATACTCGTTGTGGGTTGATACCAGCAGCAGTAACATACATATCAAGTTTTCCAATAGCTATTCCAATGCCCTGAACTCCAAGATCACCAAGACCAAGAATACGACTTCCATCTGTGACAACTATCATGTCTACCTGCAAAGAAAAAGAGGAAAGCAAGATAACTGTCAGGCAGGACAGGGGGCTGAATGAAAACTAGATTGCATTTTCTGAATGAAAGATGACTCAAATTATTGAAATAGTGAGTATTCCCGTGCACTTTTTAAACAGAAGTTTAATCTAGGTATACTGACGAGAGTGCAACATGTTCTATAAAGGCATTTCACATACAAAATCTTTTGGAAAGAGCTGAGGAAACTTTTAGGGAAGACCAAAGAAAGAAACAGACAAGTCAAAAAATTTAATAACAACATGGAAAGATCAGAAAGCTTGGTTTAAGAAGCCAAATCAAACTATGGTCAAAGTCAGTTTTACATTTTGGAATATAGCTAAAAGATGGATATTTGGGAAATTAACTTGGTAAACTGAACTCCTTTTTCTTCTCCACCATCCATATTCAAGAAATAGTAACATTAATATCTTGCAAGATCTAAATCTTTACCTGGGGAGCTGGCCAGTTATAGATCATAGACATCATCTCTCCCTTATCCTTTGCACTGAAATACATCCCACGTGGGCGTCTAAATAACCCTGAGTAATTTTGACAAACTAATCCTACAGTAGGAGTGTATATTATTGGAGCAAAATGTCTGATGTTATTCATTAGGACCTAGAGCAAAAAGAAAAGCAGGAAACCCTCAGATGATTCCAAATTTAAAAAATGCACATAAACGCTACAAGCTGACTAGAGCATCAAACTTACTCTAAAATCAATGTTTCATTCCTGTCATGTAATCTATTTAAGAGCCTCCATTTGGCTAATGCAACAAAATTTTCTGGGTGTCCTTGAGTGTTTTTCTCCAGAGACCGATACGATTCCACTACGAATAAAACAACATTGCATGGTCTATAGTTATCAAATGAAGAAAGAATTTCTAGGAGACTGAATTGCATCAGAGGAATGGTAACACTGCTTTTTTTCTTTTTTCCTTCTTCTTTTTTACACCAAGTAAATGATAACACAGTTGAATTGAAGGGTAATATTATACTCACTAAAACGAGCATATTGCTGCTCAAATGATATTACACGAGGTGGAAGGAGGCCACGGAGTCCTAATCTATCTCTTTCTGACAAAGGAAACCCCGTATCCTGCACTTGAAAAATCCATATAAAAAGAAAAGAAAAGAAAAATGAAAAAAGAAAAGTAATGCTTCCATGAGCTGCAATTTCATAAGGTTTACCTCGAAATTGTTTTATCTTACTTTTTTTTTGACAAAAATGCAACACACTAACCTTGTTGAACCAAGGATCGTGAAGAATATCAGCACCACGCTTGTGTATAATACACGCACCAGGAATCGTAGTCGAGAAAAGCCTCAATTGGCGGTGGAGGCTCGACGCCGCAAATCGCGCCAGATTGCACATTACGTGCCCTAGAACTCAAGATCCAAAGCAACCGGAAAACTGCTTAAAAAAAAAAAAAAAAAAAGAAGAAGAAGAAGAAAAGGGAGAAAAAAGAATACTCGAAATCTACTCCTTCAATAATTGTCCTTTTCCAGCATTTCATCCAACATTTTTTTTTCCCGAGAAAATGCAATCAAATTTCAAGAGTGAATTAGCTCGATGCGATCCATAGGAAAACTCTCTTGATCTCTTCCTGCCTTAATTATATTATTTGTGAAAGACTGAAAGTGGAAACTGGAAACAGTTGATGCTGTTGAGAGTGAAGGTTGACGAGTGTTGCAGCTGCCGTGGCGAATGGACGTGGCGAAGACTAATGACAACAGCCAAAAACGGAATTGCCCGAACAAAACACGGGCGTGGGGTGGGCGCGGAAAAAGTCAGGTTCCGTTCCCTTGGGGTTACTAAAAATAGGAAATTCCCGCTTTTGACTTCTGCTTAGCGGAGATTTGTGGGCTCCCCGCTCCACGAGTCCGTTGATGTTTTTTTTGGAGCAATGATCTGTGAGACGATTTTGGGACGAAACGGAGGACGGTAAGTGAAGTAACCTCCATAGCAATTATCAATTTGACCCTGCTTCTACTTATCGTCCTTCAAAATCGTCCTCCAAAATCGTCCTTCAAAATCTGCAGATCATTACTCATTTTTTTGTTATAAGAGCTTTTTTTTGGACATCGGATTATGAATTATGTAATGGGTATTAGTTGTGCTTATAATATTGTATAAAATTACATATTTATAATTTTATATAATATTAAATAAAATATGATATGATATTACATAAAATATAATATAATATAATATTAAATAAAAAAAATACATATAATATCATAAATAAATTCTTCAATAAAAAAATTAATTATATAAGAATATATTATATTATAAATTTATTAAACTACATAATATTGTAATTATAATATTTTCAGTTATATAATAAAAATTAATTATTTCTTTTCTAAATCATTCTTCACCTATCTTAAAATTTGAATATGAGATTTTTAATATAAAATTTCAACTCAAACTTTTAATTATTAAGATATAAAATTTCTTAACCGTCAGGTTATAAGATTTTTCATTCAACTGGTGATGCTTGAATTATGTTTGATGAAGAGTGTCAATAATCGCAGAGTTTTAAAATCACAGCCGAGTTGTGTTGATTCATTAAGTACAATTTCAATACAAATCTAAGGGAACATATTCCTAAAGTTTGATTCAAGTAAGCTGTTTAATGCACAATACTTTCTAGAACAATATGCTGCAGGAAACCTAGAGTGTTGCTATCTTGCCATGCGGCAGTAACAGTCTATCTCCCACCAAGCATTCCACTGCATTGATTTCAAACTCTGAAACTTATTTTCAAGCAAGTTAACAACTGTTAATGATTATCAAAACACAAACATCCATATAAATATATAACTTCCAGCGAACAGTTTTTAACATTTTCTTCCACATGACTTATTGATGATGGTAGGAAACATCACAAGAACATGTCTTCAGAGGATCCTCAAATCCACTTCAATCAACAATACAAATGAAGGTTGTATTCAACCAATACTGATACTAGTAGTCTTTGTTTCCAAAATTCTTGCACCAGAGCTGTGAAGGAATTGGGCGCACAGGATGATGAGGCCGTTGCTGCAAGAAAGCAATCACGCAATCAGTTTTAGCTATTCATCACGATTGCTCAAGCAAATTATAGAGATGCACAATAAAATGTCATCAATTAACTCATCTGCAAGTTAATACAAATATATATTTTCCTGAAGCACTTCAAGGCATAGATGGTATCAAGATTCTATTACGATATTATGTGTTTCATGGATTTAAAAATGATAAAAAGTACTACAATAGCTTGATCCAACAGGATAGAGCTTTCAATATCAAATTAAACAATTTGAGACTGTTGTTTAGAACTATAACATGCTGAGACTTATTCATTGTAGCAGCAACTTGTAGTTGCTGATAAACTTGTTGTACAGATAGTTTCATGGATAAATACAATTTTCACATTTTATCCAAAAAAATACATTGAATTAAACAAAATAACAAATTATTAAAGTACATAATAGAGAACTTAGGCCCCTTATAGTTTTCTTCTTTAACTGCTCAATGCATCTTCCATCTAATTGTGCACCACCATTGTCAAAACTTTACATGCTCAAACTCCACCTAACATACTAAATTTCTCATTTTTTAAGAAACAAAATACTTATAAAAGCAAATAGGATCTCAAGCCTGTAACACCCATATGTTCCAAGACCTGATCTGAGATGACTAGAATGATAAGTTATATCCAGCCTGCTAATTGGTCAACAAGTATTGCTCACAAAGATGCTCCATGTATATAAGGCAAGCCAACTCAAGTTATCAAAATGACAATTCTGCATTGATTTTAAGCTTTAAAAAATTCATGGATACATTTTTGCATCAGATTAAATGTCAATACATGATGCTAAAATCAGCAAACTCATCTAAGGCACAAACATACTGCTAACAATCAACAATAAGGAATTAAAAAGTGAAAATTTTAGACCTCAAGCTCAGCAGATTTCATAGCTATTGGGATGCAAATTAGGAAGACACCAAACATGGCAATCGCGGTGTTGCGACGCCAGTGCTTGGGCCGGCAGTATGGACCACCCGACATGCTCCAGACCTTCGTCCTAAAATCCTCAGCTCCATGTCCATGTCCATGTCCATGCTCAGCTCCTCCCATCTCTGTTAATTTACTCGATCGATTGACTGAGATCTCCTCGTTCGACTGCAAACACGAGTTTTCCGATCCCAGAAAAATGGAAGAAACAATAATGCGCTAAAAACAAAACCCTAATCCTCCGATCGCATCTGTTCATAGATGGAAGCAAAATACCGATTGAGGTAGACTAACGCGACACGACGCAGAGAGATTAACGGTTGTGTTCTCACCAGAGAGAATTGCGATGATGAGGCCGTCGCATGCAAGAGGTGACGACTGAGTTTTTGCCTTCTGACTATTCGATTTGGAAGCCTCCGGTGGGCTATAAGGCCCATCATTTTTTAGGCTTGAAATTTTTTTTCGAGCAAAGGGCCTCATTAGGCCCTGGGTTTGGAAAGTCCATTTCACTTGAAAGATGAAATTTTTTCTTATCTATGATTGTGAGCCTTCAAACAGAGCACAAAGTCCAATTATAAATAGAAAAAAAAATGATAATTATCCAGGTTACCACATAGCCTTCCTTCCTTAATGTGACAATCCGCGATAATCTGAACACATAATTAATAGCTAGTAAATTATTTAATAAAATATTAAAATAAGGTTAATTCATTAATTATTTTATAATTTAATCTTAAATTTTTTTTAACAAAAATATTTATCTATTACTAAGAAAAATCTTGAGTGTTGTTTCCTATGTCAACACCATTAATACTCCCATTACAAAACTTCACCAACCTGTGAGCATCACCAATTAATTTTTATATACTGTTTGGCCTCATGTCATTAATATCAATGTAAACTATTTGGCCCATGTCATTATGATTTTTAAAAATATCTTGAGTGTTGTTTCCTATGTCAACACCATTAATACTCCCATTACAAACCTCACCAACCCGTGAGCATCACCAACTAATTTTTCTATACTATTTGGCCCCATGTCATTATGATCCCTGTAAACTTTCACTTCACCACTTGTAGTAATGATTTTACTATTCTCACAACACAATTAGCATGTAAAATTGATTTCAATCTTTCAAACTTAGCAAGTGGAGACTTGAAATAAATGCTTTTAGCTCTAATGTCCTGGTAACCAAAAGCATGCACAAGCTTTATAATCTCTTCTAGATTGACTTTGTCCTCGTACACATCAAAGATTAACCTTGCATTGTTAACATAATCAATAGGTGGACCCCGCTCAAAGGTTCCCCATGAAAAATAGTCAAAACACCAATAGAAGTGGTCATTGCTGTAAAACACATGCAGACGCAAGTAAAAACAATAGCTTTTCAAAATATTATAAAGACAAGTGGGGCATCAAAACATGATATTTATGGTAGAAAA